AAAGACTCCCCATTATGTGCTTCGCACATGGGAGTCAAAAATATTATAAGTGACACCAAAAAATCTTCTTTTGAATAGATACGCTTGCAAATAATTTTTGGATGATCTACCTATGCAAATAGACATGGACAGACGTAATGATATATCTTAGCATTGGCAGGTTTAGTTAAAATTTTATGCACAAAACAACGGTGGACCCAATGGCAATTTGTAGAAAGTATGCAAAACTAGGTGTACTTGTTTTCCTCAAAAATATATAAGACAAATATATTGTTGGATTAATTTTATAGAAACAATCAGGAATTCAAAACTAAACTACTGAGTCTGTTGTAGATCTGGCGGACTAACAGAGTGTCAAGCAAATATCAAATGAAAGATGTGAATTCATGCAATAGGTTACTGATGGCATCCATACATAGTGGCAATAAACTTTCAACAACATGACACCAAAAGTCATGTATGCTGAGCAATGCTTTCTAATTCTATCACTGTTAGCAATGCACATTTCAATTAAGAACTGAAGATATCATTAGAAAATGAACAATATGTATAGTATCAAAGCAATCGGACTAAATTCGCTTGATAAAAATTAGAAGGCAAAATAAAAAAATTCATATCTTTTTTGAACACCACAAATTAATTGATACATTCAATAATTATTTTTTTTTCAGAATGAATTAATTAATTTATTAATTAATTAATTAATGGCGAACAAATTAATGTTTTTTTGGGGTAAATTAATAATAGTATGGGATTTCTCCAATCACCATTCAGTAAATCCAAATATTGAATTAAAAAAAAAAAACCAAAAGCATAAAACAAGTCTGGTCTTTTGACAATTGGTCATCAGTTGCTGTCACAAATGCACGCTAATATCTGTTTTTCACAACTAGCAATGTTTACCATGAGAAAACTACTGATGGAGTCATGTTGATGAAAACACAATTTGTCTTCTTTATATGAATATGACCTCTTTCTCACTTGAACTGTCTATTCTGTAGAAGGTAAGAATACATAAATTAAATACATTGAATTTCTCACCCGATTAATTGCAGAACTCTGCGAGTCTGAGGCATCACGATATTGACCTAACATTCGATCTACTTCTCGTAAATTACGGTTTGTGTCCTGGAAAAAATAAATTATAGAGAGAAGCAAGAATAAGTAAAATGTTGTTTGCAACAGGCATAGTACTAAACAAGATTTGTCCAGGTCAAAAAAGAATCAAAAATTTTAATGTCAAAACAATGTTGAATTCAGTAAAATCTAAGAAGCTAACCACCAAATTTCTAAGATTGCACACACAAGATATTGATGTGAATAAGAATAAGGAAAAGTTCACACAATGATTCAATTTGCATATCTCTATTGTGTTACACTTCTCATATATTTACATGGATCATTCACAGTCTCTTTGATAATTGATCTTTGATACATGACAAAATATTGATTTGTTTTACAACTTAATAATAGGATAAGCTAAGGTTTCAGTACACACACACATTTTTCAACAGTCAAGAAAATACCACACAACAAATCTGCTAATTTACTTATGATGTAGGAGTTACAATTGGCTGAAATACCATTACCGGTAATACCTATGCAATATCATAGGATTTTTGTGTCAGAACCTCTAAATAGAAACATTTTATTTCAAGTGAATTTTTGTACACCTGAACCAGTGACTTTAAATCTGTCAAAAAAACATGAAATATATTCTAACAACCTAAACACATATTTTAAAAGTACAAATAATGATAACATATTTTACAAATACAATGTAAATGTAAACAAAAATAACGATGGCCATACACAAATAAACGTAATTGCAGACTAACACCCAATGAGAACAACTAATAATACTATAATTATGATAGTAGATACATGTATGAAGACAACGTTATTGTAGTAGATTATTATTTCATTATCATAGATTACAATGTTGTACAAGTCATTGTTAAATAAGAAAACATATAGGTATGTAGTTGTTGACAATTTAAGCACATTATAACTTCATTAACCCTTATCTGGTCAATTTACAACTACACAGCGCTCACCACTGGCAGGACAAGGGTTAATGGTGTTCTGTCATTACTTTTATGTATTGAACCTAGTAAGAAACTAAGCAACTAAGTGATACTGACTTTCTAACATGTACACTTTCTATTATTAGTGAAATCACACACAGTTATTAGCATACAATATTACTTACGTAAAGAGTAGTTGTAAGTGCAGTCACACTATCCCGAGTGAGAGCTGAATCTGAGAGACCTTGACTACGGGGTGAAGAAGGAGGTGTGGGAAGACGACGGGAAGCTCTACGTGGCGGTAAACGATGATCATAACCCTCTGAATCAGAGGACATGTTACTTCAAACTGATTCCAAATGAAACTAGATATGTCACCTCATCAGATCTACTCTTCTTTGTTCCTTCTTGAATAAATATAAGTGTATACTTTAAATAAAAATAACCTGCAAAAAAATGAATATTAGAGTAACAAAATGATGCATAATATAGAGAATTACCAGTTAATATAATTATTGCACTTATAGTTTCAAAAATCAAATCACAAAACTTTAAGAAATTAACTAGGGTTCCAGGTAGCAAGAAAGTGAAAATTTTTCCAACGAACAGTTTACAGTATTGCAACGTGTGTGCAATTTACCGTTGTATTTCCTCTGTTCATACGCTATGTAGTGTAAATCATAACACTAGTGTCTGTAGTACTAACAAACAACTCACACAACCTCTTTTGATTAATAGTTAAAATTAAACCATGATACAATATGTAGAAGATTTAACACACAAACTAGAAATTCCTGATTTTGAATAGCTACTTGACACTACACCCTAGAGATTAGAGTTACTTGGTACATAGTGAACTATGGATTGACTCAAGGATATTGCCTGAAGCCACTGGGAGATAATAAGGTGTTTTATTTTGTTAATACATCGGCAGTACAAAGACCACTCACTACATGTTCTTGCACAATAAACAGCTTTATGTAGTGAATAGACATAATGTTTTGGCAACACATCAAAAGTCACAAGATACCCAGAACCAAAAGAGGCATCAAATTCGATGATTAAAATGGTAACTGATTTGCTGCAAGTCAATTGTATGTTATTTTATAGACAAACAACCTTCATATGAATTAAACCAACCAGCCATTAAATTTTAACCATGATAAGGACAGAGTAAATAAAACATCATGCAGCTTTTGAGTGATTTTGATGAAAAGCAAACAGATTATTTTTTCTTATTTACTCAAAACAACAAGTTTAAAATTAAAAACAACAATTAAATCCATTGATTAACAGCTGACAATTAATATTAATTGATTTGTAACAACATCGTCATGTGACTGAACACAATATTGGTTTCAGGCTAAATTCACTAGTTATTATTACTCGCTAGAAATAAGCAAAATAGACAGTTTCAATTCTTTAATGCACTTCACTTATTACAAACTGCCATAGCAGACTACTGATTTTATCAACAAATACCACGCTACTACTCAACTGTAATAAAGAAAACATGTCGCATCACGCTTTTCAGCCATACTACTTCAGAACAGTGTGAGTAAATCTTTCATTAATCAACAATTTTGTTAATAATCAGCCATCTAAAATTCTCATACAGGTCCATATTGTTACAATCAATTTAAATTCAGTATATAATAAAATAATCATTAAGAAAACTATACATGTGACTGATAATTAGCGCAGGTACCTACCATGCAGGGAAAGTGTGTAAATGATATTACTTAAATAAAATAGTAAAATAACAATTTTGTAGGTGTTTTAAAAATTTAACAAATACAGACACTAAGGGATAAGTTGGATACTGAACCAAATTGAGTACATACATATTTGTACTTGTTAATACATGAATACGAGTCTGCCATAACGTCTCATATAATCAGGTTGATGACATACTTTGAGAACAATTGATAACAATAGCTATTGATACTATGTAACAGAAGACACAATAACAGAAGTGGCTGAGACAATTCATTAATAAACTATAAAAACCAAACAAATAGAACAGAGATTCTTCATTCAGATTTCTCTTTTAATTCACTATTACAGTTTATGGTGGGAAAAAATAAAAAATACCATAGTGAAATGCAATCTAGTTGCTTCACACTCAGGAACAATTATAATTTAGTGGTTATGGTTAAAAGTTACTTCATTAAACTAGCAATTATAGATTATATAAATAAGCTATGTGAAGCGGGATTCGGGACTACTTATAACAGGTACACAAGATACCAACGGTTTTCCCCATTTTTAACAATGGGAGTTGCCAGGTAACAGACGCCAAGTTGGTACATTGCCAAGTTGGTACAAAATACGTGGATGTCGTTAAATGCTTGATAATGAAAGACTGGACACATTCATTCCAACCTTGATTCTCTTGAAAATAATCATCGTTGTCTGGTAATAAGATTTAACATGTTGGAGAGAAAATTTGGAATGCTCTGTGAACGGCAATGGCAGGAAGCCGAGTGAAACACAATCAAATAAAAATATGTCCATGTTATCAGGTTAGCGGTGTTCTATCGTGACCCCTCATTTTGTTATTTCGACATACACCTCAGTAGCTTAGTCGAGTTACTATTATGTGTTTTGTATAAGCATGTTTCTATTACTATGTCCCCTCTCCATATTTTACGGGCAATCTCAAAGGCAAATACATGACCTTCTTCGTTTTAGTCAGTTCAACAGCACGGGTACTAACAGTTTGTAGAAAGTGTTTACTAGTAAAATGTCACAATTGTTCAAACACTAAATTATGGTAAATACTCGTCGTATAGTTTCGAGTGACTCAATATTCCTGAAGATAGATGGAGTCGAGTCGAGTTGTGTAAAGTGTTCAGGAATCATCGATCGCTGTCGTGTGTGAAATAGTACACGTAACTTACCTGTCTATTCCGTGTAGACGACTGATAGACGTTACTTGTACACACTTCAATGCAGAATGTAATATCCAAAATGTCTTATTTAATCCAACTCACGCTATATTGATAACTAAGCAAACTCCTGACGTCCAGTTTCCCACCTAAACACTTCTACGCTATGTGTTGTCGTTAGTGGGGAAATTGAAATCGCCGCCTAGACTGCGCTTTTGATTTATAACAACTTTTCTGATTGGTCAAAAACGCGGAAGTGTTTATGGCATGTCTTAACGGTCTTCAGTTGATTCTCGTAGACTAAATATACATTTGCGTCACCAAATAGTGAAACTCGACATTTTATTAAGCACTGACATTTTGAGATTAAATAATGATAAAGTTTAATTGAATAGAATAATACTTAAAATGTAATTTTGCCATCATCAATGTGCATAAAAGCTAAACTGATAATAGCCAATCAGCATACTCGAAGTATACTGTGATAGGCCTACAAACAATTACGCATGCGTACTGTTAACTTCCGCCTTATCTCAGAGGGCAGTATGACATCGTCTGCCGTTTGAACATGTATTTTGATGACTCTTTACTCTTTGACAGGTAGGATTTTTGATTCGTTGCAGTATTGATTTATACTTCGGCAATATAAACAAATGTTGTCCGTAAATGCTGTTCATTATGTCGTATTTCTTGGCGAACGGCGTAAATAATCTTACTCAACCGTGACTGCAGGACGCTCGAGCTCTCAAAATCACAATCATGCACTTTAATGTAGAATGCTACACAAGTATATGTCATTTTGACATATTTGATATTTCATATCACGAGGATGAAGAAAATGGAATAAAATTATCACCGTACTCGGTTCGGAGAAAGTCGATGTACAAAATGAAGTGAAAAGTAGCATGTTAGTAGTCGGTTTTAGGGCATTTTTAATATTTTCCTATGGAACGCATATATTGCATTATCTCAAAATTATGCTCTGTAACATATGGTTAAAGAAGATATACATTGTCTTACTAAGTACTTTTTGATGTCCTTTCAGTGTTAAAAAATTGACAATTATTTTTGAGGGTTTTTTAATTTTATCAAAGAAATGTGTTTGGAAACTGCTACTAATACTAAAATAACATTTTATGCATATGGTATTATTTTTTTCGTTTATCTAAAAAAATACGAACAATTCTATCAATAAAATTTATTTTAATTAATTTGTTTCCAATTTTCACCATTACACTAAGCTAACAAAAGACAAATTGTGAAACTCCACTTAGTTTAGCGATTCATTCATTAGCTTAAAAAACAAAAGCATGGCACTCATAATCAAATTCTGTTTTTTCCCACGGACTCTTGCAACAAGAGTTTAAGATTGGGTTGGTTCATGGCAAGAGTTTTATAACCCCGCTAAAACTATAGAGAATAATTAGAGGATCTTCAATGAGTGACCGTGTAGTAATTTTCATATGTTCCAAGCCTTTACTACAACGCAAACGCTGGGCGCATTGATTCGGTCGAACAAGTAAAAGTGAAGAGCCATTGAATTGAAGAGACAAAACTTCAAGCAATCAAGAAGAACTTTAAATAAAAGTCCAAACACCAAACTAGTTAGAATACAAATAAACAAATTAGATAATTTTTAACTTAAACGAAAAACGAAAGCAGTAAAAACTATTAAATATGTCAAAAAGCTGTAGGAACTAAAAGTATTTATCGGGCGTTTGAATTAATTTTATATCGTTCTTGTCTAATAATATTGTCCTTAGGAAACTTGCCTAATAAACTTGAATATTTAATATTAAATATTCTGGTAATGGTAAGTGGTCATTGTCATCATTAATAATGAAGTCTGACAGTTGAGCACTTCTAGCATTCATGTCACCCATGATTAAGACATCTCCCATATTAGAAGCCGCAGCTTCTATTAAAATTATTCAAAAAGAATGGGTGCAACTTCTAATACAGATTTGATGGTAGTACCTGCACTTATGCAAATGACAGCATGTGCGTCTATGCATGCATGGTCATAATTTGTTTATGATCTAGTGTACAATAAATGCAATTTCTGGATTGAGTACACTTCTATTGGAGACAACAAATACAGTATTTATTGTTCAATCTTCAACTTATTTTCTGAGCATAGACACGCCTTTGGCATTTATGTAAGCGCATGTGCTATTATAGCAAAAATACAGTTTCTTTCATTTCATTTTAGTTTTGGCACGCAAATTGCCGCCGCCATGTTCGCCTAGTAGTCTCAAGCAGCACGCAGGGAGGTCAATACCTGAGATTCACTGTCAACCAATGCGCATAATAGACCTGCGCGAGACTTCGGTACTTTGATCATGATACTCCCATGAAAATGCAACTTGGATATGTTAGGCGGCGGGCAGAAAAAAAATGAAGATAAAAATAATTTTTTTAGCAATTTTTTGCACTCACAAGTCAGTAGGCGCGAGAAATTATGCTGAAATAAAATGTTATTTTTATTTCATTTTCGGCTCCTGTTCATTCGGCGGGTTCACAAAACAAGGGATAATAAAAGTCTTGTCTTACCGTAAAAAAAAGTTGCTAGAATATCATCATTGAATAAATTTTCTCGCTCTACGCTCATTGACCTGAAAAATAATCCATCTACACCCACCGATCATAAGTAAAAACCACCTATTTCACCTCCATGAAAACACGGGTACAAACGTAGACATACATTCCTGTTGAAAAAGTGTGAACATGTAGTGAAAATAGCCACAGACTTGAAAACAGACAGATTGAAAGTCCATTTAAAAGCACAGACAAAATAATATATTAAAAGTAATACCCATGGTATATTACTAGTTAACCACAGCCACAAGAACAATTCAGATACATAAGCCACGACTTGAAGATGTCAAAGAAAATGACAAACTAGTTGTATAAATGGCAAAAATGAATCTGTATTGATCAACCTTAATGCATGTGTTTCTCATTTCTAGTAATTGGTGCAGTAATCATGTCAGTAGCTGGTCGAATATTTGGAAGTCCTCCAGAACCAGTATTTAACTTGGAAGGTGCTTGTATGCCAGCAGAGCTTCTTGAAGACCAGCTATTTATCTTGGCTTCCCAAAATGAAGAATACGCTCAGTGCAACACTATCTATGATCAAGGATACTTTTGCTCAGGAATACTTGCACAGTATATTTTTTTGGTTTGTGAAAAGTTCAGATTACCATCTGAGAGTCAATTTCTGGCAGTAGATATCTTTGATAAATTTATGTCAAGACATTTACATGGCTTATACAAGTATATCAGAACTAGTAATAAGTATGCTGACAAGAAAGAAGAGTGGAAAGCATTGGAGAATAAGCTTAGTCGTTTGATGTGTCTACGTATGGTGTCTTCAGTGCAAATAGCAAGTAAACTAATCTCTCATGCCAAAGTTGTGACGATAAGGAAATGCAATAATTTTCTTTCTCAATCGGGACGTAATTACACAAACGAAAGTATCATGCTCTCTGAACTTAGTATTTTGAAAGCTCTTGATTTTAAAGTGTCATCAACCTCTGCATTAACGTACATTGAGGCATTGCTTGAAATTCTTGGCCATAACGACACAATGACCAATGTAAAAGTGCTGCATGATACATGCTTACATATCTTAGAAATGACGTACATCCAAAGACAATCTGTATATGAGAAGCTGTGCTGTATAGCGACTGGAAACGCTGAAGTCTGCCATGAAGAAAGAGTGAAATTCAGGACAGTTGAGCAAGACATGATGTTGTTGTCTGTGGCTATCATTGGGGCTGCAACATATGTAACAGAACAAAAAATGCTTGATAGAGTATTAGACAATCTCGGAAAAATTACAAGAATTCCAATGGAAGATATTGTTGATTTTTCTACTATACTTGTTGAAGAAGCTCTGCAGAGCAACTGCAATATATTGAACTTTTAACTTGAACTTATAACATTTTACAAGTTTGTAAATGACAGTCTATTATTGGCATTAGTAATTTATTGTGATAATAAAGTTTAATAGTATTAAGTTTAGACATGCTGGCAATATCTCATTAACCATTCTGATTTTAATATGCAAACATCACTCACTATGGTATGTCATAAGTGATCTGGGAAATTACTCTGTCACAGTTGGTGAGGACCACATCATGTTCAGTATGGACCCCATGTGACATGTACATTACCGTACATATAAAATACATTGTTTATAGGAAATTCAAATGTGTTGCTTGGAAACAGTGGTGCTTTGAATGCCAATTGAATTTAACAACAATCTCAGCTAGGCATTAGTGGGGATGTGAATAGTGAGTGGATTCAAAGCCAAGTAGTATTGTAATGTATATGGTATGGAGAGGAGTCGATGTTCTTAAGAATTTTTGAATTGAGAGATATTCCTGTAGATGGACAATCAAATATTAGAATACATAGTGGATTATTTTGCACATGTTAGCTCTCTCAATACTGTAAATAATTTTCATTTGATTTTAATCTCACTGCGTTTCCAAATGAGCAAAATCTGCTAAATTAAATTCATATGAAGAACATATGAATATTCTTAAGATATCGAAAAATGAAATTAAACACAAGTGAAATTTGATGCGTTTATATACCCTGCGGTTTATATTAGGATTTTAACGGTATATCTTCATTTCAGACCATTGCAGTTGAATGGTATGCATATGTATAAACACTAATACAAATGACTAGTTTTCTTCCCCATGTATAAATTATACATTTTCACATACTAATTAATTACTGGACTTTGCAGTAAAATGCAAATTAATTTGATTATTGTTCACAATTGATATGCTAATACCGGTAGTATTGTGCCAAGCCATGGTGTGTAATATAGTGTGAATGTTTGGCCCTAGAGATGTGAAACCTTTACTGTCGTTTATTAACACTCTCACCACGTTGTATGTCATTTAAATTTACTGCAATTGTTTCAGTCATCATACATTCTCTTCAGAATACCCTTATGCTGTACAGGCAAGCTGTATGCCAACAGACAGACACCCACACATAAACAAAGTACTTAAAAATAAGAAATATGGAAATAATTTAATCTTAATTCAATGACTTGGTTATGGTTACTGATTGCATAGACAGATTTTCTTCAAACTGGTTACACATACATGCTCTCAAATCTTTGTTTAGATTATTTAAAAAATAATAGCAAATTTAATGTGTGTACAGTGGTTTATTCAAGATACACAGACTAGTTTAGTTCAAACTGTAAACACCTGTTGGCTTAATTTACTTCGCGAGGTACTTCAGTTATTTTTAATCATTTTGGTTGAAATTGTTTTCAAAACGCCAACTGTGTTGGTTCCTACTGATTGCAACATATACACGGACGTATGGTGACTTTACCATGATCGAACTTGAGATGTCTGACTGCTGTCAATTGATCGAGTCGCCAATTGATGCAGAATGGATTGGTGCAATGCAGTATGTGAGAGATAGATGTTTTGTATCATAACAATGGCTGGTGTGATGGTGCGTCTTCCCCTCGGGCATCCTACTCTCCTTCATTATGCGTACAACATGCTTCATTTCTTCGCCAATTAAGATACAAAACATCGTACATTAATTACGCTCTCTTTATGCTACATCAACACACAGATGACTTATAGAAAGCTTTATTTAAACAACGGAATGTATGATCGAAATGCAATATCGCAAATACTTAAATATTGAATAACAACCACATCGATGTATACAACACTAAATTACCCACTTCTGCGAAAAGAATCAATTTAAAACATACAGTCCATTGCATTATCTGTTACCGGTACTGGTACATGCATTTGTGTGTGGTGTGTACAAGGACGCACGCACGCAGGAACACTGTGCCAATATTTGGTCGTATATTTCGATCTTTCCGTCGGGAGGGCATAGCAATAAAAATATCAAAAATACGTGTTGTTGATGTGCAAGGCGAACTTTTAGAACTTTAATAAAAAGCATTCAACCACGCATCGCTAACCTGAATTCAGTAAGACTGTCACACAAATGCGTAATCAACTATTATAGTGATTTTTGATATACGGATAAATAAAACGAAATTACATTAACGAAAGTGACTGATAACTTTTACTATAAAAAACTTAGCATCCCGTTGGCAGGCCAGTCACACTGGTTCTCACTACAAGAGGTTACGATCCCCCCTGCCAAATGCTAAGGAAAACTGAAACGTGTATATACATATTTACATAAAATATTGTCCACCTATGCGGATCTGTTGGTGCAAGGTTTTTATGACTGTATGCCCTTACTGACGTCAACCAAACATTTTATGTGCCAGTGGGAAGTTGGCACCCAAGGCTGACAGGTACTACACCTTGCCCAAAGGTGACCTGGGGGTAGTTGTGGCAAAGGGTAACCCCATTCTCCCAAGTCCATAGACTCCACAACCGGATGTAGTTTAAAATCTTGCCCAGGATAAATATATACATAATTAAACCATACACGTTGTTTTTATCAGGTAATACCTCACATTTTAGGTTGAGTTGGTGCAAGGCTTTTACGACCGTATGCCCTTACTGACGTCAACCAAACTTATTATGTGGGAAGTTGGCACCCAAGGCTGACAGGTACTTTCCTCAAAAAATTTCAAATGATGAATACGAATACAGATAACACATAATATCCATGAAAAGTTCGTTACTAGTATGTTATTTTCTAACACCATCTCCATGAGTACCTGTATCTGTTAAATATGGTCTTTTTATTGGATTCGTCCCCTGTTATCTTAATGCTTTTGGGGCATATGTCAATATAAAAATATCAGCGAATAACAAACAAGTGTTTACATTTTTAGTTAGGGTTGGTACCATATAGAGTTGAGAAGCAACAATGCATAAACTTGAACACAAGACAACAAAAAACGAAAAGTTGCATGACAAAGCAAAAAAAAGACACACAGAGTAAATTCAAAACAATAAAACATCAAAATTGCATCAATATCTAGGAGGAGTTATCGTCTAGATTCAAAACAGATTCGCAAATAATCGCCTAAAGAAATTATGGAGAACTGTTTTTCCGTAGTATGTACAAGTCTTTTCGTAGGTTTAATATGATTCTAAACCCCACGCTTGTGTGGAAAATGTTATACACCTGTGCAAGATAGCAGATTTCTACCACAATCCCTCAACTGTCATTCTACTCACACCCGTTTAGAATTGTGAACCAACTTGAACCCGTACGTACTTTGGGGTTATTTTTTGTTAGTTCATGGACAAAGCCCATTTATGCAGATTTAGTACTAACTGTGGGCACTAATTATGATTGAGTTAATGGTCTGTGTGCGTATTTTTCTGAAATGTGCGCTGGCCTGGTCAGATAGTTTGATCAAAATTTGGAGAGGTCAATAATTAATCCTTAATGGATTAAATTAAAACAAGCTACAAACTCCGATCACTGATTTTTCTATCTACATGATTATCATGTGTTCTGTGTGCAACGCGTTGCCATTAATATCACAGAAAGTGATTTTAAACCTTTCCCTGTATCTAAGAGGTAATATAACGTATATCATACGTTAGACAATTCATCAAATATATCATGTCTGTGAATATCAAATTATCAATATGGTGGACCACAGCCCCTCTATCAGAGGGACTGTGGGTGGACACATCTTTACTTATACAAGCCAAATGACAAAATAACTTTTGCCAAGCATACGTCTTAAACGTCAAATAGTTTTGACATAGTTTACCAAAATATCACTGAGTATCGCGATAGACTTACACTGATCATATCATTTTATTTCTTAGATATAAGGGTATTTACAATGTTCTTGATTATACTATTAAACTGAAAGGCATATTTAAAATACAGGGAAATGTAGAGAAATCAATTGTCAGATTACACTACGTTTGGTTTTACCCAATTTGGTCATGTTTGTGGCTTGTCATTTACCTATGGGAATCGTGGGACAGATACGACTTTAAAGAATATTGCAATAGGAATAAAGAAGTTGTTTTAATATGGTTGGGGACAAACATTCCGGAGCCCCTTGGAAGAAATTGGTGTTTATACTCGCCAATACGTGTTGTATACAGTCGGGTTTAACAACGTTAGACACAATTTCAATGTTTATTGAAAAAAAAAAAAAAAACATATCATAGCAAAAAATGTTGCAGTACTGATTACTAAAGCTGCTCTGCTTTATTTCCACATTCAACATCAAGAATGTTTTATCGAATGTCGAATATATATTACCGTAACAATGTTCCTGGCTTATTTATCCATTTGACCTTTCAAGTTTATGTATTTTGTCAAACCACTGCACACGAACCTGTACACAGGGATAATAACGAGCACTGCCGTATTTTGCGTACCAAATTACGGTGTCTCTAAGTGCCGATACATACTAAATACTTTAGTAGATCAACATTAATGCTAAATGACAATTCAATATTTTTTTCGTAAGAACTTTGACTGTAAGGAGCAGTTGATCAACTCTCACGCACGAGATATACGGAGAGTGCGGGGTAGAGGTTAATTTCGTATTGTGTGCATCAAAACACAGTCCCTCCGGACTGTGATCAAAACAGCAATTAGAAACAAAGGATGGACTGAAAACGAACTTGAGAAACGTAAAACATTGTACAAATATCTTCAGCTGAGAATATTGGCATCTCCATGTGAACTCATGTCGAGAGAGTGGCATACTAACTCATCTTGCCAACCTTGACTTAGACTGTCGAGAGTCGCTCTTGTCTAATGGGTTTTGCCCCAACCATGGAAGTATAACTATGCGTCCGCGAGAAGCCCAAGGGATTTCAAGTGAGCACCGTAAGGCCTGAGGCAGTCCCTTTGGCCTAATGGTTTTTTTTCCAAACAAAATGATTTATTTAATGAAAAGTTTGCGAAATGCCATAAAGCCTTACGGCCCTAGCTTGAAACGCCTTTGGCATTACACAAACGCATTGCGATATTTGATTAAATCATTTCAGCCTGACCTTGACTAGACCTCCATGCTATTACCACACTTCTTGTTAGGACACGAGGGGAGGGGCCTCTCGACCGTGAAAACTGGAGGGGGG